TTGTAACTGTTTAGTTCTCTTCCAGACAGTTGGGACACTTTGATAGTTTCAATCAGTAATTCAACCCAGGATGGTGTCTTGACCTTGGATCAGGTCCAAGAGACTTTGCTGAATGAAGAAGTCAGGAGAAAAGAGCAGAGTATTGAGTCTGAGTCGCAGGCTCTGCTGACTGAAAAGTCAGACAGAAACGGGAGAAGTAAAAGCGGAGGGCCACGTGATCGGAATGACAAGTCCAGGGGACGGTCTAAATCCAAGAAAGATGTCGTGTGCTACCATGGTCAAGGGAGTGGGCACTTTAAGCGGGAGTGCAGGGTTCTCAAGAGAGAACTAGCAGCGAGAAAAGGTAAAGGCAAGAAGGATGAATCAAGTGATGATGACACTACAGCAGTAGTAACTACCAGTGATCTATTTGTGTACTGTGATGATGATACAATTAATGTTGCGATTCACGACAGTGATTGGTTCGGAGATTCAAGTGCGTCTTATCATGTGACGCCTCACAGACACTTCTTCACTTCTTACACACGTGGAGATTTTGGTCGTGTAAGAATGGGCAACTAAGCCTCATGTGATGTTGTCGGCATGGGAGATGTATCATTGGTAACGAATACAGGTTGCACTCTTGTCTTGAAGAATGTCAGACATGTTCCAGATATGCGTCTGAACCTTATTTCCGTTGGCAAACTTGATGATGAGGGTTAACATAGCACTGAAGGTGGTGGCCGTTGGACAATTACCAGAGGGAATCTTGTTATTGCTAGAGGAAAGAAGTTGAACTCTTTGTATGTGTTGAGTGCAAAGTTGAAGAATGGAGAGGTGAATGCAACTCTCAATGCCTCCATTGATCTCTGGCACAGAAGGCTTGGACACATAAGTGTCAAGGGGCTGCAGATTCTTGGTAAGAAGCAATTTCTCCCTGAGGTAAAAGGTACTGCTCTAGAACCTTGTGTTGACTGTATCTATGGTAAACAGCATAGGGTTTCCTTTCAAAATTCTCCTCCGTCTAGAAAGTCCAGTCCTCTAGAGTTAGTTCATATAGATGTATGTTACATGAAAGATAGGTCGTTGGGTGGTGCATTGTACTTTGTTACTTTCATTGATGACTATGCTCAAAAGGTTTGGTGTTTCTCTTTAAAATCTAAAGATCAGGTATAAGATGTGTTCAAAGACTTCCACCGTAGAGTTGAAAGAGAGACTGGCAAAAAGTTGAAGTGTGTTCGAGCAGATAATGGTGGTGAATACAGGGATCCGTTTGAGAAGTATTGCCGAGACCATGGCATTAAACTTCAGAAGACTGTTCCGAAGACTCCGCAGCAGAATGGCGTGGCAGAAAGAATGAACAGAACTATTACTCAAAAGGTTAGGTGTATACTCCTCATAGCATACTCCTCAGATAAGGAGTTACCGTCCTATAGAACAAAAGAATGCCTTGTAAACTACTAGTAGGGTGTGCCAAATATGTGTTGGGCTGGTTCCCCTCAAATTGGGCCCAACGGAAGTTGAAGACAAAATCCAATTGGGATTTGTTTTTAGGGTTTTAACCGAAGGAAATAAAATCCCACTTGGTTTCGGGTTATGTTTTTTTTGTTCTATAAAAGGAGGGCTTCCACGCACAATTTTGTGGTGGGTATGATTTTTCAGCCAAGAAGAGAAAGAAAATTTGGGCAGCCGTGCATTGTTTTTGTACGAGAGAAAAAGAAAGAAAGCTAGGGTTTAGTTTTCAGTTTAACTCTCTTTTGGTGAGATCCTTCCAATCCTACATTGTGGTAGGTGTGTTGTGGAAGAGTATTATTGTAATCCACCATTGGGTGAAGTCCTATGTATCCAGCGGTTGGTGAAAACTGTTTTTCCATTATTGTGATAGTGGAGATTTGACTGTTGTTACAGTCCCGTAGTTTTTCTCGATTTGGGTTTTTCACGTAAATCCGTGTCTACTTTACTTTATCAGTTCTTTGATTGCTTGCTTGGTTGGTTGTCCTATTTTATTGGTAGTAAGAAAGGAGTTTTTCTGGGAATCGTTTCCGCTGGTTTGTTGAGTTTATGCCCTTTCCGCCACAACAATATGTAACCCGAAGGCTGAATGAAGACCTTTTTTAGTCAAGATATCGGCTACTCTATTTCACTCTAATGTATGTATAATTTTTATCTCCCAAGCACATTGAAAAAGAACTGTAATCCTTCTCATGGGGTTGGACTGTTGAGGTGTAGGTTGAGGATTATTTAGTAAATGCACTGCCTCCAGGTAGACATACCCACGGTTCTGAAACCGTTGGTTTCGGTTCTAGAACCGCCGGTTCTGGTTTAGTAAAAATAAGAACCAAAACCACCCCTTTATACCATGGTTCCGGTTACGGTTCAAGAACCGTCAAACCGTTCGGTTCTGGTTTGGTTCTGGTTCTGTTATACTTTAAGTTCTATTTCCAAGTTATAGCGGTTTTGGTTACACAAATTTTTTTTAATCAAATTTCTTTTGTTTAGTTTTTTTCTTTTTGAAAAGTGATGGAATGTGGAGTAAGAAACTTAGTTTTTTTTAAATTTAAAAAAGGACAATACTTGATATGTATACTCCAATTTAACTATATGACAAATAATAATAGATTCACGGTGCTTATAACTTACTCAAATCAACAAGCAATCCTTACAAACATTATCTGAATAAAGAGTTGGTTTGTGTTATATTCTAAAAAATAACTATGCTAAAATAAACTAAAGAGTTATTGCTAAAGTGCAATTCGCAAGAATAATCACAGCTCACATCACTAATGATTTAAGAGAAAATAATACCTAAAACCTGCAAAAAGAAGTTATTACTCCGATGGTTAAGTTAGTACATGGTTCGACGTTTGAGAGAGAGAAAACTATATTGAAGTGTATCGTGTGTAAAATGTGTAAAATAAGGGAGAGTACCGAGTGTAAAATGTGTTATATTTATTATTTCTTAGATTTGGAATTATTTTCGATATTATATTAGCGACTTTTTTAGACTATAATTGAGATTTCTCTTTTCTAAGTTGTTTTATATTGATCACAGTATGAGATAACGACCCTTTTAATGATTAAGTAGTAGTGAAGAAGATAATGAGAGAGAGTGTTGAAACTTATTTTCTTAAATTTAAAAAAATGATGAAATTATCGGAATATGGTTTAACCAATAGCTGAACCAACGGTTTATACGGTTCAAAACTGACGGTTAGAACCACCGGTTCACGGTTTTAAAACTAATAGAACCTTAACCAAACCACCAATACAAGGTTTGGTTATGTTTTAGAACATTCGAAAACGGTACAAGAACTGGAACCTTATAATGCGGTTTGGTTCCGGTTCGATTCTACTTCGAACTAGAACCTTAGGCATGCCTACCTCCAGGGAGTCCACTTCTAAAATAACTTTCATAAATCCTTCCTTTATTGCACACATAAGGCCATAATAGACCCCCCACAGTTCTGCTTCCATTATTGAGCAGAAGCCTATGTTAAGTAAAAAACAAGAGATCCAATTGCAAAAATTATCTCCAAACACTCCCCCAAAATACCCATATCCAATTACCAAGAATATAATTTCCTACTTCTAAAGCCTTCATTACTTCATGCTATCTCTTTAACCACGGGTCTTATGATCACAGTTAATTGGTATCCTCTAACATTACTTCCAGCAAAGAGCTCAACATTTCTCGCACCCCATATTTTCCAACAAACAGTGGCAAACCTTGTACACACGGAATTCTTCCAACAAATAGAGAGAAGATAGATTAGTACATAGCCAAGTATAAAAATCTTGCTCCAACCAAAAATGAGGTTGTAACATATGATTAATGTTTTCCCAGATTTTGGAGGTCCTAGGGCTGTCGCGGAAGATGTGGAATTATGTCTCCATTTCACCACAAATGTAGTAGCTTCCATCCTCAGTCATATGTCTCATTTTCTCTGCATTGGTCATCAATGATTTGCCTCATTAATTGAATTTGCCGTGAAAATGGGACTTTGTTGCTTATGCCTTTAGATATGCTACCCAAAAAGACTATATATATATACAGTGAAACCTCTATAATTTACGCTTCCGGTCATTATGAAGCAATTTGATTTCTCTTAAACTTTGTTTTAGTATATTTTTTCAATTTTTATAATAATTAGGAGAACAAAATTGTGAAAATACAATTTTAAGGTTTTATTTTCCATTAGAAAAATATATTAAAATAAATTTTAAAAAAATTAAATGCCTTATAATAAGGATCGGAGGAACTAATATACTTGGGTTCCTCAAAAACTTAGAAATTAATAGAGTTATTAATATATTGATAAATTAATAATTAAGTAATTTAAAAGTTTTTTTCATTCTAATTAATAAAAAGTATAAAAATTTATTATTTTCACATCAAGAAAAGTTGTTTGCAACTTATTTACATTATAGTAATTTTTTTAATAGACCAAAAGCCTGAAATTGAAAACGCAAAATAATATTTAAATTAAAATATAAGTTAATCTTCGAATCTAATTTTTTATTTTAGGTAATTATTACTTTATAAAATTGTGGGGGCCTATATATATATATATATATATATATATATATATATATATGTTTAAATCAAAACAGGCAAAGCTTGGCGGGTGTAGGACTCATTTTATTTATCTGATATTAAGGAGAAAAAAAAGAAAGCGGCAGTGCCTAAGACTTACCACATTTTACAATGCAATTCAAAAAATTCTGAACAAAAAAACAATAGACTCAAAGATCTATATCTAACAAAAGCTACTTTTTTCCGAACGCCGCACTCTCAGATCTGCCTTGGTACTTGGCCTCTTCCGTTACTTACGAGCTGAGATAAAATAAGGTTCTTCCCCCCTAGCAACTTGAAGAATGATTTTTTAAAAAATTCTCCATGTTTTCTATCATATGTTGTTACTTCGCATCTACTTGTTTCGGCGTGCATACCTGTGCATATGCTAATAAACCCTCATTTGGATCACCTTCTTTGCGCATGAACTCACTAGCATTCACCTCAATCACATCTTCATGCAAAACGGTTCAAAAACCACTAACTGTTGTTGCTCACTGCTACTGTTTTCCTCCTTCTGAACTTCATCAACTGTAGTCTTATTTTCTATGAGCCCCTCAGTGAAGACATTCTCTACATCATCATCATGTCCATCATTCTCTTCCAACAAAATAGCTTCATCATTATCAATTACTTGTAGAGCCGAAAATGTGTTTGAGCTGTGGCAATGAAGATTTTCCTTATCAGCATTTTTCCCAGGCTTTGGCACATTTTTCACAACGAGACAATCAGAAACCAAATTTGAGTTATCTAGAACATCAACTAGGGTATCATTGTTCTCCTTTGCATTCAATCCCGACATTGAATCCATGACTAGCTTCCCCTTTTGCGCCTCTTGAGCTAGTACCTCTTGAAATTGCGATCCAGGGCTTTTCACTTCCGAGGGCTGCATTTCTAACCTCTTAACTATTAGAGGCTGCTCCTTCAAAATCTAGACCTTTGAAGGGGATTTGTTCTCAGTAAACTTCACTGCCTTGCTTTTTGCAGCTCTTTCTTGTTCACAATCAACTACCTTATGCCCAATTATGAGCAATAGGATGGTATATGCTCATAAGTGAAAAACCGTTCATGGTTCTTGCCCTTTTTCTCAATTTTGATTGATTTGGGAAGAACCCTTGTCAGATCAACTTCAACACAGAAGCAGGTTACTGATTGACGTGTAAGATTCAAGGTGGGAATATCACCTTGACGTGGATTTCAAATAGTTGTTGCTATAGAAAACACAATACCTGAATTCATGTATTCAAGAGGTAATTCATGAAGGGAGACCCAAATCGGTACAATCGGGGGCTCAACCTCAAATTTGAAACCTGGCGTCCATTTGAGCAATCTCATTTGAAAGCCCAAAATTTTCCAAAAGTTCTCATCCAACATCGTTGATAGTCCTCCTCATGTTCAAAATGAATCCATACATGATGGGGGTTCATCAATCCGAGATCGTAACGTCCCCTGAACCCAATTTTCTTAAATTCTTCTCTAATTTTCTCCAGTGTCGGCCGGCTATAGGAGAATTTCACAACAAGACTAAGTCGATGAGGGGCAATTAGCCTTTCAAATTCTTCATCTTCAATCTCCAAAATTTATTTATATAGAAGATTCTTGAAAATTTATTATTTTATAAATAATCGAAATTTTTTATTTTTTGTACTAGTCCTGAGTTGAGACAAGAAAACATATTATTTAATATAGGTTAGTAATCAACAGAGAATTAATTTAGGGAGGTTCTACTGTATATATACTAGATGTTAACCCACGGTATGTGCATGTTTATTCATGTAGATTTATTTATTATGATAATATGTAAAAATTTGTTTGATATCCGGATTTTTAGACTATATGCAACTTGTATACACATTGATTAGTTAAAAAATACAAGGAAAGATATAAAAATCCTCGGAGTCACTAAAAAGGGGAAAATGGAAAACAAAAAATTATAAGTTAAACAAAAATCCTACATGAAGTTTACTCGGAAACATTAAAGTTCATATCGTTTTTAGATAAGGGATTATCCAGTTCTCGGAGAATGAAAGAACTTCAGGGAATTGCTTGTTATTTTATTTTTACAAAAAAAGAAACTTATAGAGTAGGTTGTTCAAGAAAATGATCAAAGATCCAAAAGCCCCAACAAAATTTATCATCAAACCCGCCACAAATGAAGATCTAGAGCACCCAACAATCACAAGAAGCACATAAGGTAATTATTCCCACTCCTCTTTCTGCATATTGATTGAGAAGGCATAATGTGATACTTTTCCCTCAAGTTAGAGGCAATGTTCACAATTAAACTAAGTTTTATTAGAGGAGGCTTAAAAATTTGGCAATTAAGATTTTTGTTGATATAACTTTTTTTTTTACTCGACAGGAGGGCAAGGGATTTTTGTTGATATAACATTTTAGGAATTAAACTTTATTTCTCTCTAATTTCTCCTTTATAATAAAACTATAGATATGGTTCAATAGTTTCGCTATTTTCCTTCCTTAGGTATGGAAACCGCATGACAGCTAAGGGCTGGGAGATTGCCCCACTACGGCAACCCATCCCTCATTGACAAATGGAAAAAGACTTGAAGCATATAGATGAGTTGAGTTCGTGATTTTGGTTCTTGGTTGCGCAACAAATGTAGAGGGGCAACAGTTGCTCCACAAGACCAACACCAGTTTCGTTGTTTTATTTAATTATATCTTTTGATTAATATCATTTTCGATTGTTGGAGTAATATGCATGTTATTTAATTATTTATTACACTTCGTTGGTGATTTTCTGAAATGGCTATTTCTTTTATATTATATTTTCTTGGTAACTATTGTGATCAAATATTGTTTGTGTATATGAATTTTGCATACCTAGAAATAAAATAGTGAATTTAGCTATTTTGAAATAGATAATGATTTAAATGTAAAATTTTATACTTTCTTGCATGCTAGAAATATACTTTTAAAACATAAATAGTCATATGTGATTCTTAATCTGGGGTGGGAGAGTTTGGTGGAGTTGTTATGGGATTAGAATATGGGATGGTTATTACCAGGAGGTCAAGAGTTCGATTTTTGCTTGATCCATCTAATTTTATATATTTATAAAAAAAATTTGTGATACTTAATCTTGATGAGTTTAGGATTAATTTAGCCATATGAATATATGTCTAGTTTCAATTATAAAGATGTCATTATGATTTTTTTTTTTTTAAGGGAAAGGGATTTAGAGTTATTTTCAGGTTCCAATTAACTTATAAAATTCTCAAGGACAATCTAGGAGATTTTATAAATTAATCAGTGCTATATGGTACTATGCACCCATGGGCTCTACCCATGGGATCGACATATATACCACATAGTTCCCTAGAGTCACTCATCCCTGAATTTATTTATATATGAAATAAAGCAAGGGAAGAGTATAGTCATACCCTTGCTAATTACATCCAAGAATGTCATTTTAATCTAACTCTCAAGTAAGGAAAAGAAATTTGATCTAGCATTACAAGACCCCTAATATGCCTAGGTAATCCTATAACATTAGAAAATACTTGTGAAATGCCTCTAGACGCCTGACTAGCAAAGCCATCCGCTACAGAGTTAGCTTCCCTGAAAATGTGAGATATCCGGTATGATCTTCTCTCCATGATAGAGTGAATTTCCATAATCTGTGCGTAATATTTCCAAGGCACCGAATGTAATGACCCCAGAATGGATACCAAAGCCATATTATCAGATTGAACTTCCATCAAATCCAACCCTAGGGAGTCGCATTTTCGCACCCCGAATAAAATACCAAAGACCTCAGCTCCAAAGCTGTCACCTTCACCTATATATCCACATTCCCCATATATATAACACCCATCATGCTTCCTGATTACAAAACCATAACCTGCTTCTCCATCAATAGCATAACCATCCGTGTTCAAGATGTAACCTTGTTGCATTTGCGCTTTCCATTGGACTACTTTACAGCTGCGTCGTTGAACCTCCTTTAGCTGAATACCAAATGCTTGGTCAATGAAATCCCGTTCCAATTCCGATTCCACCTTTAGTTTGTGGATCATCAATACTTGTCTAATGTCCGTATTTACTTTATGCAAGACATTCCGAACCACAAAAACTTCACCATCAATAAGGACTTGATTCCTTAATTTCTAGATTTCCCACAAAATAAAATAAGAAAGTATAGCAATCAGACTCTTCTTGGCCGTTGTGAAACTACCTTTTTTCTCCCAACATATCAAAACATTTAACAATGTCATGTTACTCTATAGCTTAATGTCAAAAAGACGTGCATAATGACTCCAAACTCGAAACACTAGGGAGCAGCCATAAAAACAATGTTGAATGGAATCATCATGCATTTTACAAAATCCACATATAGACGGCCAAACCTGCATTCCGAATCGAGCCAATATTTCTGGGAAGGGAATGAGAAAATTCTGAAGTTTCCATAAGAAGAAGGACACTTTCAGAGGTATCATTTTGTGCCATAATTTTTTAGCTAGCCTGTCCACTGGTTGCCTCCGGCGCACTAGGTTATAAGCCGACTTGGTAGAGAATAAGCCAGTGGTCGTTCCTTGCCAAAAAACAATGTCACTCTTTTCCTCAAAAATCGGTGACATATCATGAAGAATGCGCCCAACAGTAGAATGGAAAAAACCCTAAAAAACAGGTAAAAAAACATCCTTATTAGCAAAGAAATCATGGATAGTAAGGTGAGAATTCAGCGGAATTGAATTATCATCCGTCCAAAGTACTCCTTCCGGCGCCCAATTATCAAGCCAAAAGGACCTATCCCCCCCTTTAATAAGGACTTTGGTTTGCCTTCACGCAGCAGAGTCTACTTTTTGAACACGGGTCCAAGTGGTCCACATCTTAGCTGAATCCGAAAGAGAAAGGACAAATTTGCTCCATAAGCCCTTCCTTTGATGAACCTTCCACCATAATTTTAAGGAGAACGCAAGCACCACATCCTGAAATTTCCGAAAACCTAGGCCATTCTCTTCAGTTGGAAATGCCAATTTGTCCCAGGATCGCCAATGCCGTTTTTGTTCTTCACCAAGGCCTTGCCACAGAAACCGCTGGCACCTCTTTTCCAGCTGTTTAATGATAGAAATTGGCGGACTTATGGCTGAGAACACATGTATTGGCATGGCCGACAAAACATGCCTTAAAAGGACAAGTCTTCCGGCCGGGCTTAGAAGCTTGTTTTTCCAACTTGAGAGCTTTGTATCCAAGGAATCCAATAGGAACTGAAACGTAGAGGCTTTCTTCCTACCATAGAATAGTTTACACCCTAAATATATAAAGGGAAAAGACCCTTTTTGTATCCCAAGTTCACTGGCAATGGTTTGAACCCTTTGAACGCTACAAGTGTCAACCACATAGAATGCACTTTTCTGTTTATTCATTTTTTGTCCCGAGGCTTCTTCATAGTCCGCTAAGAAAACCGTCAAAGCTTTCAAAGATTTCTTCGCAACTCTTGTAAAGATAATTAGATCGTCCGCAAAGCAAAGATGAGTGACGGCTAGGGAGCCTACCGGCGTACCATACATCGCCACTTTCCGCTCCCGAACTAAGTACTTTAGCCTTCTCGTCATTGCTTCAACCACCAAAATGAATAGGTAAGGCGAGAGGGGGTCACCTTGCTTGATACCACGACTTGATTTGAAAAACCCAGCCGGGGAACCATTTATCAAGACCGAGAACCAACTATTCCTCAAGTTGTTCATAACACATATTACAAATTGCACAAGAAACCCTAACTTCAAAAATATCTTCTCCAAAAAACTCCACGACACCATGTCAAAAGCTTTCTTCATATCTATCTTTAGATCCTGGGCCAAAATGACATTGTCAATGATATCACGCCCTTCAAGAAAAGCTGATTGCTCCTCCGATATAATCTTAGGCAATACAATCTTTAATCTCTCTGTTAAGATCTTCGTAAAAACTTTATTGAGAAAGTTACAAAGACTTATAGGTCGGAAGTCGGAAAATGTAGAAATGGATGACTTCTTTGGGATTAAAGTGATTACCGTACTTGCTATAACTCTCGGAATTGGGACACCCGCCATAAATTCATTGCAAGCATTCATCAAATACCCAGCAATTATATCCCAACACGAACGATAGAAGGAGCCTCCAAACCCATCCATACCTGGCGCACTATCTTCACTTAGACCAAAAACGACATTCTTCAATTCCTCCAATGAAACCGGCCGAATAAGCATTAGCTTTTCATTTTCGTCAAGTTCATCTTGAAAATGCTGAAGAAATAAATCCTGGTTTGTATTCTGGTTCTGAGACATGGAACTTTCGGTTAATAGGCTTTGAAAAAATCTGATGGCCTCATTTTCAACATCCAGCAACTCAGTCAAACATCTTCCACCTTCCGTTTGTATTTTCTGGATTCCCAATCTAACTGTTTTTTCCGCAAGTGAAGCATGAAAGAACGAAGTATTTAAGTCACCTTCCTTTAGCCATTTTAGTTTCATTTTTTGCCTCCAAAAATCCTCATGTTCCTTCAGCTTTTGCAATAGAAAAGCATTGGCCTCCGAAAGATTGACTCTGTCCGAAATTTGTCCCGAGCGATCATAAACAACCTCCATTTCCTTCACCTTTTCTTCCGCCATCTTTAAATTCTGGAAACCATCACCAAAATGATTTTGATTCCAATCTTTGAGTTTCACCTTAAGCCTACGCAGCTTAGTAGAGAAAGCAACCATTCCGCTTCCTAGAACCGGTTGCGACCAACTTTCTTGTACCACAGCCCTAAATTCAGTTCTGCTTGAATATCAAACTGAAGTAGCAAGGGATTATGATCTGAAGTTGTCCGGCTAAGATGCTCAATGAGTGTTTTGGAAACATGTCTAGCCATTCCTTAGTAAAGAGAATGCGATCCAGTTTCTTACTAACCCATCCCGTACTTCTTGTGCCACCCCATGTGAATTCCTCCCCAACCGAAGAAATTTCAAGTAGATCAGCCGATTCAATGGCCTGATTAAACTCCTCAATTGCACCAATATCTTGAACCGTGTTTCCAGAATATTCCTCAATGGTTCTTATAACGTTAAAATCCCCACCAAACACCCAAGGACATGTTGAATTCCGCGCGTGGAAGAGCTCCATACTAGTCCAGAGAATCCGCCTGTCAACCTTATTTGATTTTGCATACACAGAGGACAAGATAAAATTTTTTTGCGTTGGAAGGTGTCACACCTCCATATGCATAACTTGACCAGCATCCTCTATCAAGTTTATTGTGAACATCTTTCTGCTCATTACCCAAATCTTACTCGTGGAGGACGAGAATGCATGATCCAGCCTCAACTCCCTTCTTATTTCGTCAAGTTTATTTACTGGAAGCAATGGTTCCAGAATAACCACCATTGCAACTTGATATCTTTGCATAAGAGACCTCAAGCGTCGCTGAGATGCTTGTTTTTTTATTCCACGAACATTCCAAAAAATGACACTACTCATTGGAAATTTTTAAAGGTAAAAAGAAACCGACTTATTGAAAGCGAAGTGATCGCCTAAGCTCAGCCCCTTCAAGCTCCTTGGCGATTTGCTCCCTTGTTTTCCTACCGCGTTTCTTTTTCTTTGCCCCAGTCCTGTTCCCACGTTCAGTATCCGATGCTCGCCTCTCCTTATCCCCTTCTGACCATGTTCCCCTATCAGTTGCAGCATCACTTCCATCATCACTGTCTGCTGGAAAAGAATCCATAGGGTATTTCAGTGATGACTTAATAGTTCCTAGTTGCAGTATGTCACTGTTATCAAAATTAGCTGTCACAGCTTCCTTTTCTAAGCCAGCCGCCATTTCCAAATTTCCACCATTTAATCCTTGAGGACCACCAATCCCGGTTTCACTACCCGTCACCAGTGGAAGATCAATAATAGTATCATCCTCAGCACCATATCCAGATGCATCACAATCATCATCGCAAGTCTGGAGCATCGCAAATTTATTCCCTTGCTCAATGGCAACATGAGGTTCTCTTCTGTCTTCTAGGTCGAGTTGTGTCGTTTGCAACTGTAATCCAGCATCCCCTTGCGCACTATGATCCAGATGCAGATCGTCAACAACTATGTTCTCCAAAGTCTCAAGCTGGGCAGAGTTACGCTGAGTGTCGAAATCCCCTTGCGCCTTCGAACTCAGTCGCAATCCGCTCGCAACCCGAAGCTTTGGATCAACTGTGGCATTATCGCCTCCTTCAAAAAGAATCGCATCATTCACAATCTTTTCACCCGAACCTCGTTTCGGACTACTTTCAATATCAACAATAATAGAGGCCTTTTCCTTCTCTGTTAAACCAGAGCCAGTAGCCCCATCGAGTGATCTAATTCCTGCAGGCTGCAAAATTAGGGTTCCCGCAACCTGTGCTTCCGTAACTTTAGTAGAAAGATCCCTGATGATCAGAGGATTGTCATTAACAATCTCAACCTGCAATTCACCTTTCTTTGCAATCCTTTTGGAATCCCATTTGACTTTTTTCTGATTTATCCGAAATCCATTCTTATTCCCCGCAGGAACCTTGTCAGCCAATGCACCCTTTTCCGCAGCCAACTTTTCCATCCCTGCTTGTTCTTCCTTGCGCAGATCTGCATTTATCATCCCCTTCCCTTTTCTACAATCAATTGCCTTATGCCCGATCTTACAGCAGGATTGACAATAAGCCGGGACATATTCATAAGTATAAAACTGCTCAAACTTCTTCCCTTTCTTCCCTATGCGAATGGATTTTGGCAACTCTTTTAAAAGGTCCACTTCCACACAAAATCGCGCCACTGATGGCCTTGTCAGATTGAGAGTCAGAGCGTCCACTTGCAAGGGCTTGCCAACCGCGGAGGCAATTGAATAAAGCACTGATGGATGTGTCCACTCCAATGGGAGTTCATGCAGTGAAACCCAAATTGGTACAATTGGGGGGTCTTCCTCAAATTTGAATCTCGGCTGCCACTTTAAGATTCTCATTTGAAAGATACCAATATGCCAAAGAGATGTGATCCAACACCGTTGGTAATCCTCCTCCAATTCAAACCTAATCAACACGTGCCTTGGATTCATGAGCCCAAGTTCATATCCTCCTTTGAATCCAATCTTCTTAAACTCGTCTCGCTAACTCCATTTTGGGACGGCCATATGAGAATTTTCCCACAAGGTTCATCTTATGTGGAGCTATCAAATCTTCAAATTCTTCATCGTCATATTCCACTTCCGGTGTGCCATTAAAAAATGTGACTTTTTTTGGGTTTTGTAGGGTTTTGGGCTCGACCGCATTAGGATTGGTAGCCTTAGGTTTTGCAAAAAAGCTTGCAAGCTTGCGGCGTTCTGCCATGATGGCCGCAGATGATGGTATTCCGGCCATGATGGCCGGAAAGGTAGCCTCCGATCCTAGGGTTTTGAACGTAGAGAGGAGCGGGAGAGAGAAAAAAAAAATTATTGGCATAAGCCATGTCATTATGATTTCAAAAGGAGTTTAAGGATATAATTAGGAGATTCGGCCTACGTATATTCACCAATATATATTAGTATTGATTTGCAATTGAATTGGGAAAAAATCATTGAACTTGTTCCCATAATTTGAAAAGACTTTCATTACTTATTAGTTTTTAGGAGATTATTATTGGACGCCCGATGTTTTTTTGTCTCTAAAGTATTTTCCAGTTCAATTTCCGTCCTTATTGTTTTTAGCTCTATTCAATTAATCCTGAAATTTTATTTTTTTTTTGTTAAAAAATCATCCTATTGGCCTTAATCTAGCGAAATTTGATATTTTCTGTCCAGCGTGTGGGCCCGTATCTCATATTTTATTATTTTTTTCTCCACTTTCCCAACCATGATTAACGATGTTTCTTTAATAATTTTATTATATTTAATTTTATTATTTTTTTCTCTCCAACGGTCCAAAAAAAAAACCTATAAAAACACCCATTTGCCCCTTATGAACTGAACATCTTTATTTTTCCTTTGCCTTTGCTCCTTCCAAATCATCCTTTCTTCTTCTTCTTGTCCTTAACCAATGCCGGACCCAAGATGTCACTGCAACAAATGGGCAAAGCTCACCACTTGTTGGAAATACCCTAATTCTGGACGACGCTTTTGGTACTGTCCTCTATATCCGGTAAGTTGTGGCCTGAATTTGATTGTTTAAGGTTTGTATGTGTGGGTTATATGTATGGTCTTAGTTTTGATTTGATCAATCATGCGTAGCTGAGATCAAGATGTCATTTCTTTGATTGGTTTGACCCACCTGTGTGTGCAAGATCCAAAGTCATTATTCCCGGGTTGTTGGCATGACTTAACAGAATGAAGAAGAGAGAATGGGTTTATTCGATAGTTATTGTGTCCTTGTGATGCTGGTGCTGAAGAAAAATAATGGGTCTAAAAGTGGGACATGTCATGCGGATCAGTTAAGCTTGGAAGGTGTTTTAAAAAAGGTTTAAGAATGTTTTGTGACAGTTGGGGCAAATGTTGCGAATAGGGCAGGTTTCAAATTGCAGCTCCATTATTGTTATATTCTGATTTGTAACAATGGTTGTAGTTGTTTGGTTTTAATTTGCAGTTCAATTATGGCAGTTTGTAGAACCTTAAGTGTTGTAGTAGAAGAAGTGCAATGTAACCATATATTGTACTTTTTTAGTATTGTACCATTTTGATCAATTAAAGTGACTGTTTTTATCAATTGAAAAGTGGTGTGCCAAGTGAAGGTATTTGTCCTTGAAATTTTAGTTAATGTATTTGCATAATTATGTGATATTTAGGGTATATATGATAACAAAGTAATCTAAAGGGTGCATGGAAATAAACAAACAAACATGAGACTACATTACATGTGAAAAAACTTTTACGCACACTGTAAAACTTAGCAAAAATACAACCAAATACAACTTAGATTTAGCTACCAAATATATCTATAATAACATCGATTATGGTTCCACATTACTAGAATTACAAGCCTAAATTTGTAAGCAACTTAGCATAATGCAACCATTATATGGATTTTGTTACAAAATGTACCCGAGATAAAATGTATTATGCCTCCTACAGGCCATTACCAAGAGCACAAACTTAAATTAATATCTATTACATAGAGAATTTCTTTTTTTTTTTTTGGTGAAAATTTTACTTCACATTGTTCTTGTCCTTTGCTTCACTGTTGCCAGGACCTCAGTCTCCACGTGTGATGTTTGAAAACAAACCTTGACCCCATTCTGAATGCAACCATTCGGGAACTTTTTGACCCCCCATTTTGTAAACTTGTAATGATGTCCAAAGGGATGTTGTTGGATTAGAATTAAGAAAAAATTGCTAATGTATTCTTCATAATTGTAGCGTTTTCCTTCCTTGCAACATTTGATGTCCTTAATGCTTCTTCCATCTTAGATGTTTACACATTTTTCACCCCAGAGATTTTCCATCTAGATATGGCGGTGGCTTAAAACCAAAAAGTTTCCACATGCTGGAAGGATAACATTAACTATGACTAACACTAGAAAAAAAAATGTAACTCTTCGGACTAAAATTATCATGAAAACCTATCTTTTAGGACAAAAATTAAAATAATCTGCCAATAAATATACCTGAGGTCACGAACAGTTTCTGTTGTCTTCAATACTTGCTCAGAACTGGATGGAGCATCCTTACCAACATGCTGAGGATGTTCAACTCTATTTTTCTTCTTGAAAGTAGAAGGTTTACAATTAACCTTAGATGTGGTAACTTGCTGAAAAGGAAAAAGAATAAGTAAATAAACTTTGAATACATCGTCAATGATGTTTTATCAAATATGCAACAAATTTCTGACCTTCCTTTTGCTGTTCATTGCCTTGAGCTGACAACCTCAAAAGAAAACATAGAAACAGGTGGACCATTACCAAAAAATTCAATACCATTCATATCTTCCTCATTAACCAACTTATGAGGATTTTGATTTTCTTTTTTTTTTCATGCAGGCTAAACAAGTGGGAAACATACGTAATTTTACAGAAAATTTAATCCTCTAAAAATATAGATTTATCTGAAATGTAACAAATCGTACCTTTTTTGTTTCATTCCTATCAACTTTGTTAACTAACTTATGAGATGTGATAGGCTGCTGAAAATGATTAAAAAAAAAAAAGAAAAAGAAAACGAGTAACAACATGAAAATGTGCCTTGTAGTTCAAACCAGAAGTCACAACTTCAACTCCATTTACTTTAACTTTTTTATTCTTGGACTTCTTTGAAGTGGCTTTGATGATTGCATCGGCAGGTTAAGATTTGAATGAACGTTACCATTTTCTTATCCTGGACAAGCATTTTATTGAAATATTGTTGAAGATCTTGCAACAAAAATTTCTTTCACGCCTGAGAGCACCAATACAATTAAAACTAACCAAACTAATAAAAAAATTAAAAAAAAAAAAACAAAGAAGAAAGAGCAACATACTGGAAGCTTCTGCTTTTTGTCAATGGCTTTTGGACTTGGAGGAGTGTTGTTTTCTAGATTCAGGGATGAAGTTGGAACATTATCTTCATCTAATTATCCAAGGTCATCAACTTCATTAATGTGGCCTACACTCAAGATTTGATCTAAACCATCTTCCCAATTGTCATTTTTGTTCTTCTAATTGCCTTCATCCAATGTCCTTTTTCATGGACATTTTCTTTTGTTGTACGCACTGCCCTTACACAATCCACATGTATTTTTTTTGGCCAACTCTACTAATTTTGAGCTTCTGCTTGTTTTGCTGGTCAATCACCAACTCAATTTGTGGCTTCTTCCTTTATGAGATCTTAGTTCTACCTAGTTGCCTGTCATAAATTGATGGCAAGGGGGCCCTACGCTCAATATCCCACTGTCTTTCACCTCTCATGGGAAGAATGGCAGGTCTATAACACTTCAAATATCTTTCTACACTGTAACACTCATCAACATAGTCCAACAACTTTTGTTCAGTTGTCCAAATACCTGAAAATGACAAAATAAATCATGAAAAAAATTATTAAAAATGTTACACAAATTATGGAAGTGAAAATTGACACTACAATTTTCTGTGTATACCTGATATGGCATGAATACATGGTATCCCAGAGAGCTGCCAAGCTGTGCAAGAAAAAGTTCTTTCATCGAGGTTTACAACATGTTTTTCAGTTCCCTTGCCCCAAACCTCAATGTGAGCACCATCTGCCTTGTGTGGATCATGAATTTTGGCTTTTTTTCAACAAGTTAGTCAACCTTTTGAAGATTTTAGGCATATAGCTCTTCCTATCCACAATCTCACTGCTCTCTCTCTGCACTCAACCAATCTCTCCATCACGTACACTGGCAATGCTTCAAATATGTGGACAATAGGTTTACTTCTAGCATCCACAATTGCACTATTGAATGACTCACAATGTTTGTTGACTAGCATTGGACATTTAGGCCTTAAACTGAAGTGGGATAAACTCCACTGTTCTGGAGGTTTGTCATCAAACCATTTCAGTGCATCTTCATCAATTTCCCCAAGTTGACTCATTTTTTCCTTCCACTAATTAATTGTAGTATCTTGCAGCAGCCCACATGGATTTTCATGTGAGCAGCATTTGGGAAGACCTTCTCACATGCATTTATAAGACTTTTTTGTTTGTCACTCATTAAGGTCCACTCTTCATCCTTCTCAATTTGAATATTCTTTCTTAACAAATCCAGAAACCATTCCCAAGAGTCGTTGTTTTAACCTTCAGCTATGGCCCAAGCAATAGGGTAATAGCCATTATTAGGATCACACCCCGCAACTGTTAACAATGCCCTTTAAAAATGTTCCATCTAATCCTATCACGGGTCTACATGCCCCAAGAAACCCTTCCTTCAAACCAGCAAAGCAAATATACATTCTTTCAAACCTTTGTTGTTTAGTTTCAGTGTCAACAAAACCATCTACCATTTTTAGCTCTACTATACTTCCTGGATTACTTCTCAAAAATTTCAGCTTTGTAATTCTCTAGTTGCTCATATTGATCACTGACATTCCCATTGATCATCTGCCAAGTTTTTTTCTTGCATTGTAGGCCTTGTTTCTTGGAATGATTAAATTGTCCTC